CAAATGCTAAAGCTTAAACCTAGTGAGTGTAGTCAACACGCTGGATGCGTCCCACGGCCCTTGAACAGACGACTCCTGTCTCCTTTGCCAGGCTGACGTGCCAGCTGACCATTTGGCGGCCATCTTGCTTCTGTTTGCAGCGTGTCGCTTGTGGTTACAAAAAAGTCTTCCTCTAGTGCGCTAACCGTAGTCTTTGTTCCACGGCAAAATTCTGCAAATACAGAAGACGCAAAAAGGGTCTGGACCGGCGAGCGGTAGCAACCCGCGCTTTGACCGGCCGGTCCCACGGACCTGTTCGACACGAGGACGCCTGGCATCCTTATCGCGGTAGTACAGAGAAGACACAAATCTTCGGCATTGTTCCGTCACGAATCACAGAGCCGGTAGCGAGCGGTAGCAATCCTCGCTGTGACCAGCCGACACTTGCTCGTAAACAGAGCTTACACCGTGCGTGCTGCACAAAGCTTGATAGCAGAGCCGGAGATGCAGTGCAGCTGTAGCGTTTATTGTTCTGCTGTTGCCAACCACCCCCTCTATGACGACGACGACTGCTACTATTACTACTCTTACTACTACTACTACTACTCCTGCTGCTGCTACTACTACTACTACCACTACTACTGTACTACTACTACTACTACTACTACTACTACTACTACTACTACTACTACTACTACTACTACTACTACTACTACTACTACTACTACTACTATTCTACTACTACTACTACTACTACTACTACTACTACTACTACTACTACTACTACTACTACTACTACTACTACTACTACTACTACTACTACTACTACTACTACTACTACTACTACTACTACTTTTAGTACTACTTCTATTACTGATGCTGCTTCTACTACTACTACTACTACCACCACTACTACTATCTACTACTACTACTACTACTACTACTACTACTACTACTACTACTGCTACTACTACTGCTACAACTACTGCTACTGCTACTGCTACTGCCACTGCTACTGCTACTACTACTACTACTACTACTACTACTACTACTACTACTACTGCTACTGCTACTGCTACTGCTAAGGTTCTTGGCTTTCAGCAATGAAGCTGATCTCGGAAAACCTGAGACTCCGCATTAGGAACGTATGCTCACTAGCTGGCCCGCGGAACCCCAACGAAACCCAGCTGTAGGCTGCAGGATGGTGCATGCCCTGTTGCTCTTGTGCACACTTGTACTTCAGCAAACTTGTGCTCGAAGCCTGTCCGTGATCGTCCGGGACTGCCAATCTGAGTCCAGGCCCAAGCGAGTCTGTGCCGCTGACTGCGAAGCTGTTGACTGTTGCCTTGACTCGCTTCAAGCCTCTCTCTGCCCGTGCATAGCTGGCCGCTCAAGCATCACTTTAGGTCTTCGGTGTGCACCTTCCACAGATTCTCAGCCGGATTCATGGCGCCCAGAAAAAGGGGCGGATCTGCCGCGGAGGCTACAGCCAATCGTGCAAGTGCCAAAGCCCGCACAGCAGCGCCGACCACGTGGCCCACTGCTACCTCGGATTCGATTGAGGACCTGTTCAACTCGACGGATGAAGATGGCCCATCCCACTGCCAAGGCCTCCGCAGTGCCACCCAAGGCGACACCGAAGGTGGGCCCGGGCGGCCTGCCGGCCGGCCCGCCGCCACCGCTGCCGGTCAACCGACCAGGACCTGCTCCAGGAACACCTGCCGCGGCATTTGGCATCCTTCGATCGAGCCCAGGGACGGATGATGTGCACCGTGGACCTGTCACAGGACCCTCGTTTTCTGTGGAAATCACGGTACGAACAGCACCGGTCGACCGCATGTGATACCAATGGCCAGTGGCACGGAGATGAAAATCAACTGCTAGTGCCTGTCTGCCTCTGTTGTCACTGCACCCCACTACTAGGGCCCTACCTGCCTCTTAAGTGTACCCCCCCCCCAAGTCGCATGGCGGACCGTACGGCTGCCTCCTCTTGGGAGGCCAGCCGGCTCTCGGACCCTCCCACCAGGACCCCGCAGGGTTGGTTTGCATTCGACACACAGGCCTGTGGCTGGGAGCATCCGGTCGACAAGGATCAGGCCTCTGCCCCAGCACATGCAATATACACTGTGCACAGGTTGGCCGGCTCGCGGTCGCCACAACCTCAGCCCGAGTGCATGGCACTTGCTGAGTGTACACCTCATGGCAGCCATCCTGTCAGGCCCGCCCTTTATCCACTCCTATGCCTGCCGTGCCTACAGGCCGGCACTCGTGTCTCGTGCCGATAGATGCCACTGCAAGTACAGCAGCTTTCTCCTAGGCTCTGCTCCGCCTGTGCCCTCGCCAAGCATGTGGTTCCCTCCTTGGTCCGTGCTGCATGCTGCATCTGACTTCGTCTTGCCTTGGTGTAGCTATCCCTGGCTTGATTGGTTGACCCTGTGCCAGGCCCAAGGATACATCGTTTGGGGTACATGTCCTTTCCCTTCAACTCCCCAACTTTGTCTCAGCCTGTCCAAGCACCAATTCCAGCACTTAGCCATCCTCAGGATACAGGCTTGCCAGGCGATGCGGATTGATTTTTCCCGACACTGCCTAAGATCGGTAGCTATGGGATGGGATGCCAGACAAGGTCGCTGGAGGTATAAGCCGGGACAGAAGGAGCGTCAGGCTGCCCGTGCCGAACGGGAGCGTAGGGACGAAGAAGATGAGGCCTGGGCAGTGGTTCAGCAACTGGCCAGTGACGATCAGGACCCATCTACAACTGCAAGTGGCTCTCGTCCGAATACTGCCCCGCCTCTGACACTTTACTCTGCGAAGCGGCCACGCCGTACTCGGACCCTGGGGGTGAACCGTGCCGGTGCCACGCGAGGAAGGGCGGCATCCTCTACTGGGCCTGATAGGGACCGCGATCCTACTACAAGCACTTCGCGGGCTCCTGCGACATCAAGGCCAAGATCAGGATCCCCGTACCTCATCCCAAGCCGAAGAAGATGCCCAGGCTACCACCGAAGCCAAAACGGCGCCCTCAGCCGAGGAGCACACTGGCTGAGACGGAGGCGGCGGAGGAAACCATGGCTACAATGCAGCCCAAGACCCCGCCAGCCAAGATGGAGGCCGAAGACGACATGGTCACCGTGGTGGTGGAAGACGAGCCTTCTCCAGCACGCAGACTGCAACCTCCTTCCCCGAGGCCTGCCCTGCTCCGGCCCAGACCACGTCGCCACTACACGAGGACACGGCACTGGTTGCAGAGCTTCAACCTGTTCGTAGACGCCGAACCAGAACAAGCTGGCTCGCTAGGCCGTCTGGCGATCGCCTTAAGTTTGGCCGGCGACTCCCGATACCAATGGGCAAACGCTCCCCCTTCCGTGGATGGTTCTACCGGCGCATCGCCACGCAGCGGGATGTGGTGACCGACCAGAAGACAGGCATCCGCAACTGGAGGGCTGGCAGGTATAGCTGGGGACTCCACCGGCCCTGGTCCCACAGCTGGCGACTGCTCTACCAGGACATCAACCGCATCCTCCTTTATGCCCTTGAGGGCACGGCACAGCCACTGGCACGACTGGAGCGACTCTTCATGGCCTACAGGTTAGTGCTGCCAAAGGAAAGGTGCCTGATGTCCTGACAGTCTGTGACATGGTTTCACGTCAGATTCATCGTGCTCCGATCATGGCTGGTCAAAACACATGTTGCATGCCCCTGCCCTGTACGGTACTCTCATGGCAAGCTTACCGTTGCTCGTCCCTTGCCGTCTGCCCAGGATACAACAGACCAATTGGCGGCAAGGCATCAGCTTCTTGCCGACGTTCTCACACTTGCCACTACGACAGGCAGGCTCTGCTGCCCTGGCACGTTTTGCACAGGTTAGATCCCGGCAATTTCACAGGTATGCGTGCGCCACTGGCAGGAGGCCACCGGCCCGGAACTCCTGGTGTTGTGAGATATATTGGCCCGTCCCACACATTTCATGACTTGCAGGGTTGGCCACATGTCTTCCTTCAACAGCAGCCGGACCCTCCGCACAGCCACAGCCCGGGCTGCTTCATCTGCCGGCGTGTTCCGGGTAACAAGCCCCCACGGAGATTTTTGTGCTCGGCGTACTACGGCCAATCTATGCCCACCGCCGGAAGCCCAGCACCTTGCCGTGAGCGCCCTAGACTGCACCAGTGCCCCTTACACGATCAAGGTCTGCCTCAAGCATCAGGCTGTGCCGACATTGCTCCTGACCAGCCCGCCCTCTCAGGCAGTGACTTCCCGCAGGACAGTGGACCACTCGGAGACCCCCTGCCTGGACCTCACTGCCGCATCTGTGTCAAGCCGGGCCCCTGTAGCCTCCCATGCCGGCCCTACTTGTGTGAACCTCGTGTGTCTCCACCGACAGGTCCTATGTGGCTCGTGCTATTCCGTCGCAAAGCACCTCCGTCACCGCCCTGGGAATACGACCTCCCTTTGAGCCTCAAATTTCCAGTGTGTTGGCAGGACCCCGTGGGACCTCTCAAATGGAACCAACACAACAAAATCGGCCCATGGAAGGACACTGGAGGTTGCATCTAATCTACCCCATAGACCTTGTGCCATGCTCTGCTGCATGCAGGAGCACTATGCACTACAGGCCGAAGGCATGCCTGAGATTTCGAAGCCTGCCTCTTCTAGTCCAGCGACAGCGAACACGCCGCTGGAGCAAATGGACTAGTGCGAACCACAGCCCAGTGTGCCACTGTGACCGCAGGGCGTACATATTGCACCTGCTTTTTCGACTGCAAACACCCAGGCCTCTGCGAGTTCGGTGCTATGTAGTCCGTCTCCCCAGACATAATCCTGGCTTCCGAGCCCGACGAAAGCCCCGTAAGCCCCTACACTTGCTGTCCCTAAACTCCGGGCACATGTGGTCACAGTGTAAGAGGTGGTTCTGGCGAGACCTCTCTTCCGAGCGGGGTTTTTCATGCATCCGCATGAAATTGCGATGCCATCGACAATTGCATAGCTACGTTCTCACAAATCCGAGCCATTTGGGTCCCAAGTCCCAAAGCTCCACCGACAGATGGCATTCTCGACAATCCTTTCCAATTTCTATTGCGCGTTCGAGCTGCCAGAAAACAGGTGGAGCAGAACCGAGGGTCGAGAGTCGTAGCCGAGGACTCTCAGGACCAGCATGTCAGTCTCTGTCTGCTGGGAAGCCTAGGCGTGAGAAGCAACACCTTTTATGTTCTTGCGTTCAAGAGGCGCTGGCGGACACACGTGTCCCAGCCCAGAGTCACCACAGTCACTGTTTCACCTGCACAGGGCATCCGCTGCAGCAGCCTCTCTCGAGCACTGTCAAGCAGCCCCTCGTCTGCCCAAAGCCATCGCGTCGTCCGAATCGACCTTCATATCACCTGGCAGGCCCACTCACCCGCCTCCTGCCTTGCCTTTGGTTGTGTAGCTGTCCCACAGGTGCTCTCACTTGCCCGACCGTCCTGCCTGGAGCCCAGGCGACTGCCCGTGTGTCTGCCCCGCTCGGGCAATACAGCTCGGCCAGGAAACGCTCCTACAAACGAGCTATCCGTCGAGCAGCCGCATCCAGTGCCGGTGGCACCCGCTATCGTGGACGCTGGCAAACTTTGCATCAGCTTCACTCCCAGCACCACTCTCAGGAACAGACTACCACCACCACTGCGCCCCGAGCTAAGGCCTGCACTGCCCCAAAGGGGCTCCATGTTAGATTCCTTAGTCTCAACTGCGGTGGCCTGTCCAGCGAGGTTTACCAGGAGCTGCTCTTGTCTCTGGCAGCACTAGCCCCAGACAGGCGACCACATGTCGTCGCAGTCCAAGAGACTCACTGGGCTGAAACGAGTAACTCTGATTATGTTACAGGCCCGTGGAGGGTCCTCAGCTCACATCGACACGGCTACAAAGCTGCTGGAGTGCTGCTCCTCGTCCATAAGGCATTCTCTGCTGACTGTGTAATCTCCACGGCGGAGCCTTACCCAGGCCGTCTCCTTCATGTCCGCTTGACACATATGGCCTGGGCCCTTGATATCTTGGTCGTTTACCATAACGTCCTATGAACTGGCAGAGCTCTCCATCCAAAACCGCCGTCGAGGCACCGGACTCCCAGAGCTCACCGCCGCAGACAGCCGCCCAGGTTCGTCATGCTGTATGGGACAAGCTTGATCACACTCTAAAAACCTTCCCCGCCAGACACACACTACTGCTCCTAGGAGATTTTAACACGCCGCTTGCTGCCCATCCACGTGCAGGTCGCATTGTTACCAAGTGGAATAGCCGTCTCCCCGCCGATGCCCCGCTCTGCACAGGCCCATCCCCTGGCCCGACAGACTGGCCGGAACCCCATGACCATTGCGGCATGGCGAGCCGGTGGCAGGCATGTACCCCTTAGTGGTGTCCTCCCCTTGATCCGGTTTGCGTCCCTAAATAAGCCACCAACAGTGCCACGCTCCTGGAACAAGGAGGACCTCATGCAGCTCCTCTCGGAACCGCAGTGTCCCCAGGCTTTACAGCTGAGACAATCGGTGCACCAAGACATCACGAGCTGTCGGTCCATCCAGGCAATCAATGACTGCCTCACATCTGCCCTGCAGCTACACCTGCCATCACGAGCTGGTAGTGCGAGGCTGGCATCCTGGCAATCACCGGCCATGCAAGGCGGCATACGTGCCATGTGGACCCACTACCGACAATGGCGTCAGGCGGCCAGCCGTCAAACCTCCACAATTTGGAAGGCGTGGTTTCACTTCGCCAAATTCCAGAAGGCCCATAGGGACTTTCGCCGTGCTGGCAGGCTTGCCAAACATGCCTGGTACTCTGACAAGCTCCAGGAACTGGGCATGCATGCCCGTCGGCACAATATCCGTGCGCTCTACCAGGGGGTCCGGCAACTGGCAACTGGCACCCAAGCAACGGTTTACTCAGGTACAGCTACGATCTCCCCGGAGAAACAGGCTCAACTGCTCTCGGCCCATCTTCGCAGTAGCTACACTGGTCAATTCTGCCAGCCTGACCGTGCTGCAGTCTCGCAATGGACACCGCTGCGCTGTCCAGTGCACTGGCAAGCCTCTCAGTGCATAAGGCTGTTCCGGAGCATCTGGCCCCCATAGCTGCCTGGCGACTCTGCTCAGAAGAGGTCATGCCGAAGTTGTCTGAGCCCGTCAACAACCTCACGACCGTCGATGAGCTATGGCACGCGGCCTGGCTCGCGCTCATCCCTAAAGTCACGCGACCAACCCTTCCGAAGCACTTCAGGCCCATAGGGGTCACGGAAGTCTCAGGTAGAATTGTCTCCAAGATCCTCCAGAATCGCTTAAGGCCGTTTGTCCTTGAATATTTGAAGGATCTACCCCAATTCGCTTATGTTCCGGGCCGAGGCACTCTCGACTCAGTTCTCCGCGTACAAGCTCACTGTCAGGCCGTGATTGACTCCTGCATGTCCACGGATTGGACAACTCGCGAGGCACGAGCTGGCATACCCAAGCCACAGGCCGCCGCTGGAGGCCTGCAGCTATCACTTGACCTCAGCTCAGCATTCGACCATATGGAATGGCTACACATCGCCACTGCTCTTGATGATGCATCAGTACCCACTGAGCTCCAAACTCAAGTATTGGAATGGTATCGCGATATGAAGTACGTCCTTACTGTACAAGGCCAGACTGTAGACATTTCAGCCAGTCGGGGCCTGAAACAAGGTTGCCTCATAGCTCCGCTCATATGGTCCCTGGTCACTGGTCGCTTCCTCTATGAACTTGCCCTTTGTGCAGATCCCATGTGGGTGACGACCGATGTCACGACCTACGCTGATGACTTTCATGCCGGAAGCCAAATCAGTTCATATGTCGAGCTCTGTCGCCTTGAAGTACGCCTAGGTCAGCTTCTTGATATACTCTGCGCAGCCGGTCTCACGGTCAATGCCCAGAAATCTGCAGTCCTCTTCCTCTTCAGGGGCAACTTTGCTTCCAAGTGGCTTAAGCAGCACCTGAAAACCACCCCCGACGGGCCAGTCCTGCGGCTACGCACGCCAACAGGTCGGCTGTTCGAGTTTCCAGTTGTAGAGGTTCACACGTTCACACCTATCTAGGGGTCCGAATCAGCTACAAAAACCCACGACTTGCCACCCTGCAGCATCGCGTCCAGCTTGTACAAGCCGAATGGTCCAGACTTCGGAAAGTGGTGTGCTCCAAACGGGGCCTCTTCCTCAAAGACCGGATTAACATTTGGAGAGCGAGTATACCACCCATGCTTACTTACGGACTTGCTGCCACGGGTTTGCCAGCAGGCGGTCTCCACCAACTCCGCACTCTGTACCTTCGACAACTCCGTGCCATCCTCAGATCCCCGGCACACCTCAATCATGTCAGCAACGAGGACATTCTTCGCAAGGCTGGTGTGCCCGATGTCGCCGAGATTGTCGAAAGGGATCTGGCTCGCTTACAGACCAGCCTTCAGCACTTACAGGTGGCTGACTCCTCTCTTCTTGCACCACACGTGCTGCGCTTCGCTGAGGGCCTTCAGCTCTCGCTGACTTCACAACCTCCCGCGCGCGACCACGCGCCAGGCACGCGCGAGTGTGAACCTGAGGCCATTCTGGAATGCCGATACTGTGGAGAGACCTTCTCAACCTACCATCTTCGGAGAGCCCACGAGGCCAGGAAGCACCAGGTCCGCACACCCAAGCAGGCCGTGCACACATTTGACCGATTCAGGCACAGCATGGATGGTATGTCGATATGTAGCCTGTGCAGGTACCCGTTCAGGAAATGGAGCAACCTCCGAAACCACATAGCCAAAGGTCAGTGCCCCTTCCTCTGCTCCAACCAGACAGGGTCCGTTGCCACCAGGCCTCAGCTGGAACCACCCACACTGACTGGTACGGACCCCGGCTCTGAACAGGTGCCTAACCCACCTCTACCCGGCACTGCCACTACTGTCCCAGAGGCACCAGTGCTGCCCCTGATTCTCAGGCCGCACGTCGTGACCATCCTGCGTATGCAACACTGGCATGCTTTGCTTGACATGCCTGAATTGCAGCATGAGCTCACTCATCATTGCCCTCTGTGTCGACAGTGGTGTGTGGATACCGCAGCAGTGAAGCGCCACATGACTGTCCAACATGCGGAGTGGGTTGAGCAGTTTCCCAAGGTTGTAGAGCTCCTTAAACCCTTCCGCCGTACCATAGTCTTTCCATGTAGATATTGTAAACAGTCGCAGGTTAACCGGCACACACACTGGCGGTCCTGCATTGTTCTTCAAGTTAGCTGCTTTCTACAGCTAACTCTCGGCAGTGGACATGGAGGAGGCCCTGGAGATGACCGCACAGGAGAGACTCTTCTTCGGAGGGGTCTGTCCATCGCTCCAGTCCAAGAGGGAACGGGAGGAAGGCCCCTCGGAGAAAAGACCGCGGACTGCAGACGCTCTAGCCTCCTTCCAGTCACCGGCGGCTGCACAGATGCCACAGGCGCCGAAGGGCAAAGGGAAAGGCAAGAACAAGGGCAAAGCAGCTGCGAAGGGTCAATGGGGGGGCTGGAATCGACAGTCAGCCACCTGGAGCCAGGACCACTGGCCCGCGGGACAGGGAGCGTGGAACACGCCTTGGACTTCGGAATACGGTCTGCCGGACATGGTACAGAAGCTAACCTCCTTGGCGATCAAACACGAATATGCTATCAACAGCATGATGCAGGATCACACGCTCTACCTCTTCGTGAAGCCAGGGGACGAGGGGCTACTTCCAATTCTGTTTGCCACCTCGGAGAAGTGGAATGCCACACAGCAGACGGATCCGTCTCAAATCACGGAGCCACTGCGTCTGGTCATGATGAAGGCATTTCGAATCGAGCTGGGACAGAGATTGAAGGCCACGAAAGACCAACCGGAATCCACGCAGAAGGCCAAGGAACTGGGCTGGCTGACGGACCAAGGCCAGTGGAAGACTCTGGTCTGGGATCCAACGGCACAGGATCTACGCGAGAAGCAGGGAGGCAAACTGCACATGACGGACGAATTGATCGGCCAATCCGTGGAGCTTCGCAGGATCATCACGGACGAGACCCTGTTTCGGTTTCAGTCCCTTCGGGGACTGAGCCGGGCTCCGCAGACGGCGTGGATACAATTGGCGATCGAGGTCAGTGTCCGGGACATGGGGAATCGCGTATGGGAAATCCTTCATTCCTGGATAGGCTGCGCAGCTTTGCACATCATGGGATGCCGCCTTCGACGCGAGCGAGGCGGACTATCACAACAGGCCAGAACCCTTCGCGGGTGGTGAACCGGCCTGGACGTGCTCCGCTTGCACCTAAATCCCATAACCTCCCTAATGCTGCCACCCCGACCCCACCTTGTAGCCTGTCTTGCTGGAATGTTCGCGATGATATTCCAGGCCTGCTTGAGATCCTACAATGCCTTCTGTGGCCGCTCTGGTGCGACACCGCCAGGTCCCAGCATGTGCACGGGTTGCTTAAGCATCTTTGGCATCGAATCCGCACCACTCCTGACACTCCGATTTCCCTCAAAGGTGATCTACTTTGGTCTGTTGTCGCGGGGGGAATACCGTCCACGGCACAGGCTCCACACTTGCGTGCACAACTCCAATACCTGCTACAACAACTTGCACCTGGTGATACGTCAGGTCCGTGGGAATGGTGTGCACAGGGGTCACTGCTACACCTGCTTTCGAGCAGGCCGACTTGACGATTCCCATGCCAATTATCTTGCCCTTGCAGCCTGCTCCTACCGCAGGTGGCTTATGGGGATGGGGAGACTCTGCATTCAGGCCGAGGCTTCGCACTGCACCGTCCACCTTGTATATGTACGTGCATAACCATCGTGCAGGCTCTGCGTTGGTCACCGGGCCACACACTCCATGCACATGGTTAGCTGCTGCTGGGGAGGCCTGTCCGCTCACCATTGAGCCAGATGCAAGCCCCCCGTACCAATGCTTGTATGAGGTACGCTCAATCGTCCTGCATCGGCCATCCGGGGATCCATGCAGTTACCACGCAGTGCATCGAAAACTGTGCGACGATATGCTGACATCCTTTGCACCAGCATTAACCGAAGCTGACCTGCGTGATATGTGGCCATGCATCTTTGTGCTACGACGACGCTCCGGCCAGGTACCTACTGGCTGACAGACTGTGGTGACTCCCTTTAGTTAACGTTTTCCAGCATGTGCAATCGACACTTGCTGTAGTTGCATCTGGCAGTTGCTGCGGCCCATGGGCACAGCATCGAGCTCCCTGGAGAGCTCCGGCATAAGACCGTGCTTCTCGCTAGGTGGATTGCGTCCGCTGCGTGGGGAATGAATGAATACTGCTACTGCTACTGCTACTGCTACTGCTACTGCTACTACTACTACTACTACTACTACTACTACTACTCTTGCTGCTGCTGCTGCTACTACTACTACTACTACTTCTACTAGTCGTTTTGCCCGTCCCGAGTAATGTAGGCATCCTGATACCGGCTTGAGCAATCGAAGAAACAGGGTGTCGGCGAGCGGTAGCAGCCCTCGCTATGACCGGCCAGCACCTCGATCCCCATATAAACCACATAAACCGTATAACTTCGAAAGGAAAACATATAGCATGCTGGGAGCCCCGCAACCGCAACTTCACCGAGCGCTGCAGATTGAATCCTGGTGGTGTGAGAAAATGCAATATTTGAACTGCATTTCGCAGCTGTACGTAGCTCGATTTAACAATCCGGAAGACCTCTTCTGCTCCTCACTGTCTGCTCCTGAGTATACTAAACGCCACCCGTACGAGCTTGAACCCGATACGCTTGGCAATCGTGTCGCCACTTATATTGAATTCATGTGTGAAAGATGCAATCATTAACGGAAATTCGCAGCTGTACGTGCAGTTCGAGTTAGAATCGCTCAACAATCTGGAAGACCTCTTCTGCTCCTCATTGTCTGCTCTTGAGTACTAGACGCCACCCGTACCAGCTTGAACCCGATGGACTTGATGCGTTCTTCCCATTTCATCGCGACCCCGTCGCCCACTCTGTTCCCGTGGCTAAACCCCGGTCCTGCAATTGCTCCCCGGCCGCAAGTGTTTCGCAGCCCCGCACGTATCTTCGTATTCCACTCGTTCCCTCAGCTTACCGTTTTATTGTCCACCTGTTGGCCGACAACTCGCAGCTCTCAAGCTTCAAGCTTCGGCAGACCGGTCTCCATCCGTTTCCTTGGTCGCCACCCGAGGACCCTAAACCGATCCTATACACCAGGGCTCAAGCTACCTGCAATTGTTCCTCCTGCTCTTCAGGCAATGATGCCTTCCACCCGAGTTTCCACCCGTTGCTGGGCTGACATGGTGGACGACGACAACGAGGCCGGATCACGTTTAAACGGCAACACATTTGCAAGCAGACATACAAGTCTTGGAAGGTTAGCCTTTGGGATTGGGCCGAGTTCCAAAAGGATTACTTGGCTACGCGGTGTCGGCTTACCGTGTTAACTCCGGTCTTCAGCTCAGCTCTGTGCCTCTTTTCTTGTCTGGCAACATATGCCATGCGTGTATCGACGGATTATCGACGGCAAGGCAGCCGTCGTCATCGACGAGGTGCCGGTGCAAACGCACTACCGTCGTGATGTTATGACTACCCTTGCTGAGGCCTGGAAGCGAAACTCATTTACCACCGGTCCGAGCAAACCGACCCTAAATCGATCCAAGAACGTGCCGTGCCCAGCTTTCAGCGGTCTCATGTTTCCACGCATCGTTCGTCCTTGTTGGTCCTGACGCGGTGAGCAGTAAACGTGAACAAAAACAGGTGACAACAAAGCGAGCAGAACATCAAGTTCGTCGTTGGCATGAAGACGTGGACACGGTCCTTGATGCTGCCTTGCGGCGAGCAGAGGCCGGTCAACTTCTCTTCGTTCGAAAACTTGTTTTTCGCGCGAGTTCTCGCGTGCACTGCGCCACTTAGCTTTGCTCCAAGCCACTGGCTGTAACTTGTGTCGAGGAAGAAGCATCCACCGCCGCCTGTTCCCTGCTCAGCTTCAGCTGGGGTGTTTGTCCGCAAACTGACCACGGCAAGAACAAGGCTAAGCAACTCCATGAGTTTCAGTACCACTCGTTCAGACTTTAACTGTTCCTTTCTGTCAAGGTGCACACGTGGACTGCGGGCTCTACATGCACACGCAATGGTGTGTGCTGCTCAGGTTTTATCATGTCGCGGCGATACATGCAACTTGACAAATCCTTTCCTTCTTCCAAAGTACATCACAAACAAGAACGGCAGACTGCGGAAAACCGCTCATAAGGTAGTGACATGCCCGAATTTCCATGTGAATGAAGCACTTTCATTTCCACGCGCCAAAACACGATAGCATGTACTGAACGGACAGAAGCGACCACTTAACGAGTATATATGAACGAAACGACCGTGTATGTAAGCCATTGGGAGGTGATTGCTTCCACTGGGGGCGTGCTACGAAGTTATTCCGAAAGCATTTAATCCGATCGAGGCAGGTCCTGCAGTGCACTTGCAAGTAGTCCAGTACATGCTTATAAATCGGTCCGTCATGCTCTCCCTGTCTGCAGGCTGGAGGAGATCAAGTTCTGCACCAGTGCAGGTTTCAGTGTTCCTCCTCTTCGAGGTGCTGGCGTCGGCTCTCCGTCCATCCCGTTTGGGCAACCATCACCTTCCAATTTTGCCTCAGCTACCATTCCTGCAAGTGTGACAAGTGTGAACTCACCAGTGCGATCACGTCGTCCTCCTGCGTGTTCCTGCTGCAGCCCAACCTCTATCGCCGAGGAGTGCGAATCCATCCCTCCACCGTCCTATAGATCCACGCAGGCGTCGCTGCAGAATCTTCGGAACCATGCCGACCAAGCAACTGCCACGCAAGCCACACTCCTGGACTCGCCGAGTTCCAGTGGCTGCCTGCTGGAGTGCCACGTGTCACGTCGACACAGTACCCCAGCTGCATCGTCCCATAATTCCGCAGCAGCCAGGGCCAGGCCGGCGGCAGAAGCCAAACCTTTGTCTGTGCGACTAGACAGAGTTTTCGGGTTGCGACCACCAATCGCCACCCCTCCTGCCGGGCGCCTCCGTTCGCCCATGCGCGGCGGCATGCACTCCGCCACCATTCCTAATGCCTCGCATCTTTGTGCTCGTCTGCAGCATTTAGGTGTTCCAAGTCACATTGCTGCCGAGGCTGCGACCGTCTGCGGCAGCCTAGAGGAGGCTGCAGCATGGTCCTTTGATCCACTAGACACGGCATCCTCACCTCCCCGGAGCAGAGCCCGCAAAACGCCAATGTCGCCAGTCGGCAGGCTGGAGCGCTTGGGTTTGCTTCGACCTTTGGCTCAGCGGGCCACTGAAGCCTATCCCAACGATCTGTCTAAAGTCGTGTTGCTTTGGTTCAAGACTCCGGATGATTCAAAGCTCCGAACCTTGAGGCTGGTTGCAGTGCCACCAATTGACTCATTGCAGCGCCAGCAATTCACTCATAATTGACATGGATTTATTTGGGTTGATGCCGACAGTGACACAGTCCGCTGCTGTTGGGGTTCAAGGGATTGCCAACACCCCCCGCCGTATGAGGCAGCCAAGCCACCCAAGCCAGCACTACTGCTACTGCTACTACTGCCACTGCTGCCACCCAAACCAGCACTACTGCTACTGCTACTACTGCCACTGCTGCTACTGCTACTGCTACTACGACTGTAACTAGTTACTACTACTACTACTGCTACTACTACTACTACTACGCTACTTCTGCTACTATTGCTACTGCTGCTACTACTACTGCTAGTACTACTATTACTACTGCTACTGCTACGACTACTGCTACCCTTACTGCTACTACTACTACTACTACTACTACCACTACTACTACTACTACTACTACTACTACTACTACTACTACTACTACTACCACTGCTACTACTACGACACTAGTACTACTACTACTACTACTACTACTACCACCACTGCTACTACTACGACACTAGTACTACTAGTACTACTAGTACTACTAGTACTACTACTACTACTACTACTACTACTACTACTACTACTACTACTACTACTACTACTACTCGTACTACTCGTACTACTCGTACTACTAGTACTACTAGTACTACTAGTACTGTACAAGCTAGGCAAGGGACAAATACGACGTCAATTGCAAAGTTTTGGTGTATTTTGGTAAAGCTTTAGAAGTAATCCAATGAGATGGTCTGGTGTAGTTTCGTAAAGTTTTAGAGGTAATCCAATGAGATGCAACCTGCGTTGACAGATTTTTTGTGCGAGTCCGGT